TAGATGTATTCTTTTGTAAAGTGTCTGTTCATATCCTTTGCTCACTTTTGAATAGGCTTGTTTGTTTTTTTCTTGAAAATCTGTTTTAGTTTTTTGTAGATTCTGGATATTAGCCCTTTGTCAGATGGGTAGATTGCAAAAATTTTTTCTCATTCTGTTGGTTGCTGGTTTACTCTAATGATTGTTTCCTTTGCTATACAGAAGCTCTGGAGTTGAATTAGATTCCATTTGTCTATTTTGGCTTTTGTTGCCATTGCTTTTGCTGTTTTTGCCATGAAGTCCTTGCCTATGCCTATTCCTGAATGGTTTTGCCTAGGTTTTCTTCTAGGGTTTTTATGGAGTTAGGTCTTATGTTTAGATCTTTAATCCATATAGAATTAATTTTAGTGTAAGGTGTCAGGAATGGGTCCAGTTTCTGCTTTCTGCCCATTGCTAGCCAGTTTTCCCAACACTGTTTATTAAACAGGAAATCCTTTCCCCATTGCTTGTTTTTGTCAGGTTTGTCAAAGATCAGATGATTGTAGATGTGTGGTGTTACTTTTGAGGCCTCTGTTCTGTCCCATTGGTCTATGTTTCTGTTTTGGTGCCAGTACCATGCTGTTTTGATTACTGCGGCCTTGTAGCATAGTTTGAAGTCAGACAGCATGATGCTTCCAGCTTTGTTCTTTTTGCTTAGGATTGTTTAGGCTATGAGGGCTCTCTTTTGGTTCCATATGAAGTTTGAAGTGGTTTTTTTTAGTTCTGTGAAGAAGGTCATTGGTAGCTTGATGGGGATAGCATTGAATCTATAAATTACTTTGGACAGTATGGCCATTTTCACAATATGGATTCTTCCCAACCATGAGCATGGGGTGTTTTGCCATCTGTTTGTGTCATCTCTTATTTCATTGAGCAGTGGTTTGTAGTTCTCCTTGAAGAGGTCCTTACATCCTTTGTTAGTTGTATTCCTAGAAAAGAAAAGTTCAGGCCAATATCCATGATGAACATTGAGCAAAAATCTTCAATAAAATACTGGCAAACAGAATGCAAAAGCAAATCAAAAAGCTTATTCATCATGATCAAGTAGGCTTCATCCCAGGGATGCAAGGCTGGTTCAACATATGCGTCTATAAATGTAATCCATCACATAAACAGAACCAAAGACAAAGACCACATGATTGTCTCAGTAGATGCAGAAAAGGCATTTGACAAAATTCAACAGCCCTTTATGCTAAAAACCCTCGATAAACTAGGTATTGATGGTACATATCACAAAATAATAAAAGCTATTTATGACAAACCCACAACCAATATCATTCTGAATGGGCAAAAACTGGAAGCATTCCCTTTGAAATCTTACACAAGACAAGGATGTGCTCTCTTACCACTCTTGTTCAATATAGTATTGGAAGTTCTAGCCAGGGCAATCAGGCAAGAGAAATAAATAAAGTGTATTCAAATAGGAAGAGAGGAATGTGGTTGTATCTTTTGGGATAGGGTAACATTTAACTTTTATCAAATTGAGAAATTTTTCTTCTATCCTGATATAATTGAGGGTTTTTATCATAAAAATGTTTTGGTTTTTTTCAAAACCTTTTTCTGCATCTATAGAGATGATCATTTTGTTTTTGTCCTTTATTATATTAATACATTCACTGATTGTCACATGTTAAACCAACCATGCATTCCTGTGGTAAATTCCACTTGCTTATGGTCTATATATTTTTTTATATTGCTGGCTCCAGTTTGCCAGTGTTTTGTTAAGGATATTTTGTTTTTTATTCATATGAGATATTAGTCTGTAGTATTTTATATGTAATATCTTTGTCTGATTCTGGTATCATGGTAGTACGAGCTTCATAGAATGAGTTGAAAAGTATCCTCTTCTATTTTATATTTCTGAAGATTTTGTGAGGAATTTTTATTCTTTTAAAAATATTAGGTAGAATGAATCAGTGAAGCCATTTCTTTATGGAAGTGGAAAGTTTCTCACTTTTATTTGTGGAAAGTTCAAAAATTCCAAATTTGAACTTTTTTTTTTTCTCTTAGTATCTTGCTCTGTGGCCCAGAGTAGAGTGCAGTGGTGTGATCATGGGTCACTGCAACCTCTGCCTCTCAGGTTCAAGTGGTTTAGTGCCTCAGCCTCCCGAGTAGCTGAGATTACAGCATGCCACCACACCTAGATAATTTTTCTATTTTTAGTAGAGACGGGGTTTCACCATGTTGACCTGGCTAGTCTTGAATTTGTGGCATCAACTGATCTACCTTTCTAAGCCTCCCAAAGTGCTGAGATGCAGGCATGAACCACTGCACCCAGCCTGAACTCTTTATTTTATATGTGTATTATATTTTCTATTTCTCTTGTATCAATTCTGATAATTTGTGTATTTCTACAATTTTTTTCATTTCGTATCTTTTAGAAAGGCTTGTAGTTGTTTATAATATTGCATTATAAATCTTTTATTTCTCTTCATATTGGTAATTATGTTTCATCTTTTTAAATTTTAGCAATTTGAGTTTTCTTTCTCTTTTTTTATATTTCAGTCTAGATAAGGGTTTGCCAATTTTGTTGATCTTTTCAAAGAAAAAGTTTTGGTTTTGATTTTCTCTAGTTTTCTTTTCTCTATTTTGTTATTTTCTGTTCTAATCATTACTTTCTTTGTTCTGCTTGCTAGTGCCTTCATTTTTTTTCCCAATTTTTTTGTTTTTGTTTTTCTTTTCTGAGATAGAGTCTTGCTCTGTCGCCCAGACTGGAGTACAGTGGTGCAATCCTGGCCCACTGCAACCTCTGCCTTCCAGGTTCAAGCTATTCTCCTGCCTCAGCCTCCCTAGCAGTTGGGATTACAGGCATCTACCGCTACACCCAGCTAATTTTTTTGTATTTTTAGTAGAGGTGGGGTTTTACCATGTTGGCCAAGCTGTTCTCAAACTCCTGACCTTGGTGATTTGCCTACCTTGGTCTCCCAGAGTGCTGGGATTACAGGCGTGAGCCACTGCACCCAGCTAGGGCTTTTTACTTAGCCTGCCTCTCCTCCTGGAGAAAAACTTCTGTGCTATTTTTTGGAGTTGTAGGTGGGTGGGCTTAGTGGCCTGTTCCTCTTAGAGTGACACCACTACTTTATGTGCAGAGCACTACATGGGGTTAGTAGCCTCTAGAGTCTTCTCAGCTTGGCTTTTCTGGCATGGAATACTCTGTCTTATGAGTGAGGTGGGATGAGGACTTTTGGGTCCAGTGTTCTTAGCCTGCTGGACTTGATGTATAGCTAACCCTATGAATGGAAGCTGGGTAGAAGAGCACCCAGACCTCTCATGATCTTTCCCAGAACAGAGCTTCTATAACCCAGAGCTGGAGGGAATGAGAAGTGCTGGTATCCTGCCACTCCTAGTGAGATATTGCTGGCCTGGAGTGGGAGTTGAGGGATGAAGGAGGCTTATGTTCTTGGTTTTATTGCCTGAGGTAGAATTTCTATCATGATGAACTGGTTGTGTGTGTGTGTGTGTGTGTGGCAGAGATGAGGGGGTTGGGGTAAGTAATGTATCTATTGTCATAGACTATTGCTGTTCTTTTTAGTAAATGTTTCTTTATTTGGCGTTGCTCTTAGTAAAATTTTCTGAGACCTTGATGGTTGTTTTTTATAATTTTTACCAATTATAGTTCTTTTCCTAGTGGGAGTGTTTGTGGAACTCCTCATGTTACCATTCTGGGAGTGAGCTTCATATTCCTTTTTTTTTCTTTTCTTACTTTTTTTTGAGATGGAGTCTCGCTCTGTTGTCCAGGCTGGAGTGTAGTGGTGTGATCTAGGCTCACTGCAACCTCCTTCTCCCAGGTTCAAGTGATTCTCCTACCTCAGTCTCCTGAGTAGATGGGACTATAGGTGCATGCCAACGTGCCTGGGTAATTTTTTGTATTTTTAGTAGAGATGGGGTTTCACTGTGTTAGCCAGGATGGTTTTGATCTCCTGACCTTGCGATCTGCCTGCCTCAGTCTCCCAAAGTGTTGGGATACAGGTGTGACCCACTGTGCCCAGCCGAGCTTCATATTCTTTAGAAATTAATTGGTATTATAATCCATGGTTTTGGAGACACTAACTATACTATACATATTAGCTATGTTTATATATATAATAATTCTAATTTCTAATTGTTTGTATCAGGGATTTATTTAGAGTAGTTATTTAGTATTTATTTATATTGTCATGCACCTTTACTACATATCCATTCATTCAAATAAGTTATAATAGTGAGCATATATTTCTAAAAGTTTCTCTCAGAATTATACTTCAAAGAATATTTATATTAATTCTAATGTTCCATAAAAGCTTTGTAATTGTAATTTTTGATTACACAAAAATATATATCTCAAAAATATATATTTTGAGAAAATGTACCTATTCATAAATGAGTACAATCTATAGACTTTACTTAGGTAAGGAGCAAAACCAGCAAAATTTATGCTGTTAGAATTAGAATAGTGGTAATATTCTTACACTTTTTTATTTGAGTGTTGATTACTTAGTTGTGTTCATATTCGAAAAATCATTGAGTTTTAGGCTTCTGATATGTGCAGTTTTATGCGTGTTATACATAAATAAAAACTTAAAAGTTTATTATGGGGTCCATATGAATTATAAAGTTTTAACCAAATACTGTTTAGAGTAAATCTCCTATATTTAACTTTTTACTTATTTGGTATTTAAAAATGATGTTTTGGGCCTCAAGTTTTAAGATGGCTTTTTTCCTACCTTTGTAAATAGAAAAATAATTTATAATATAAATTATTATGAGAATTAAAATTCTTTTTGATATTGTGTCTCCTCACAGCATCTTAAGATGCTATGAGCCTCAAAATATTTTTTTTTAATATTGAAGTTTAGAGGTCATTTGTAAATTGTTAAAAACATGTTTCCCCACGACAATTCTAGGAAAAACTCTATATGCAAAGTATTCCCTTTATATAATATATATAAAATCAGGGAGGTCATTTTATCCTTTGTAATACATTTTTAAATTTTATTCTGTAGGACTATTTTGAAAGAAAGTGGGTTTGCCAGATATCTTCATTCAGCTGTTCTTATCAATGGAGCTATGCTTATTTTTGGAGGAAATACCCATAATGACACTTCCTTGAGTAACGGTGCAAAATGTTTTTCTGCCGATTTCCTGGCATATGACATAGGTATGTATATGTTAGGATTATACAAAGTAGGAAATATCAGAAAATTTTCATACAGATATTCTCAAATACATCAATTGATAGCATGTGTATACGTTATTTTAGAGAAAAATTCAGTGATAGACTGTGAATAGAATTCTTTCTAATTTAAGCATAGGAGTAATATAGTAATAGAGCCAAGAGATCAGAAATACTGAGCAGAAGTAGTGGTAGATATGGGGGAATACAAAAAGCTAGATTTGGATGTCCTTTTTGAAGACTTTTTATGTTGTTTCCTTTTGTGAACATTGTATCAGTTTATTGTGTTTGCTACATATTAATTTTGATAATGGGTAGATATGGAATACTGTCAAAATATGTAAATTTTTATACATAGTAGGAATGTAAACATTTTAGATTTTAAGGGATAAGCAAAAATATATTTTATATTAAACATTTCATATGTACTTTCTAAGTATAGAAATCTGATAGAACTAGAGAAAGGAGTAGAGAAAGAGAACTAAAGAAATAAGTTTTTGAGACAAAATGGAAACCTAGAATGTATCTAGGAAACAACTACATAAGTATCTTTTCCCAAATAACCAAAAACAGAGTGCATTTGTACAATTCATCTAATTTTAGTTATGTAATATAGTCCTATCGATTTCTGAATATTTAAGTGAATGTATTTATTGAAATACTAAATTTAGCTATCCAGTAGACCCTTGTAGTAAAAACCTTGTTTCTCTATGTATCATATCATATATAAAACCTAGCTATATTTAAAATATACTCATCAATACTTAAGAGCATCTTTTATTGAGGGTATAAAGTATTATGCCAATTTGAAGCAATTAGGAAATATTTTCATAAGCAAAATAAAAGATTAACACATTGAATAGATGTAAGAAGTATACTTGGGCTCTTCAACCTTATACAGGCACATAATCTGCTTTGGTAAATTATTTCAAGTAGAAGCATATAAAGAAAATTATGCCTATTAATAAGCACTTTAATCTTTTTACTATTATGGTTGTTTCAAAGGAAATTTCTAGTAATACAGTGAAACATGCTTTTTAAACCTAAGCAATGAATGTCATTCTGTGATTAATCATTCAATGGTAATAATTAAATCTTTTTCTTTTTGAAATAATAATTTGAAGTGGTGACTCCTGACGAACATGGGATTGTTTCAGCCTTTAGGAGGCTCATGAATTATTGTTTGAAATTAGTAAAATGAGTTGAATGAAGTACTGAATATAGTCTGGCAGTGACTTTATCTGTCATTGCAAGGTTGGGCCTGTCAATATATTATTATTTTGGCTATGGCGATAAGACAGTGGGCTTATTTTTCTAGAAGGTGATGAAAATTTTGTTTGTTTGTTTTTTCTTCTGGGGAAAAAATCCCACAAAAAGTATAAGTTGTTTTTATTGTTAAAAATTCATGAAGTGGAATTTTGAACTTTTGCAAAAGGTTCACTTTAGTGAAGAGTTTAAAGTTGAGGTATTTTCTGGCTGACATAATGGGAATTTATTTTTATTTTTTCATATTGTTGAAGATTATGATATATCAAATTTTATGTGTCACTTAGGTGACAAAACATTAGAGAATTTTTTTTCAGAAATACATATAAAGATGTCAGATTATGATGATTCTAATTACTACTGTTTATTAATTTCCTTCTATATGCTAGGTACTAGGTTAATTGTTTTATATACAAAACCTTTAACCTCTCTAACAACCTTGTAGCATACTATTATTATCCTAATTTTCAGGAGATTAAACAGACAAGAGTAACAGGAACTTGCCAAAGTCATGCTGGTAGTAGGTGGCAGATCTAACTTTTGTAACTCATAAAACTTATGGTAGTCTTTCTAATTGACTACATCATGCTGATTAGTTGGGCCCATTGTATGTTCTTAATTTTGGCAACAAATTGCCTTATTCTTAGTAATGCTTGTTTTTTAATGCTGTGGAAATATAGAAGCAAATAATGAGTTTTGTTTTTTTCAAGCAAATTGTTCAGACTGGAGGAAGGAATAACGTATTTTAAACAGTTTTAAATTTAACAAAGGTTTCTTTATTCCCCCTGTGCTAACACTGACAACAAAACCATAAAGACAGCTACACAATTCAACATAGATTAAAACTCTTTGGCTTTATCTCATTTGTTTATTTGTAGATAGTTCTCAGTAAGGTTCCCTAAAATAATCTGTATTTATCCTCCTGGGTTTGGAGTATGAAATGTTGGACTATTTTCTGGGGAAAAGTATTTTTCATATTATTTTTTATACTTCAATAAATATCTTTCAGACTTACTGTTTTCCTCATGGAGTATGTTTTTGTGGAAATATATATAAGCATTGTATAATAAACCAGTTAGGAAACAGAAAAAATATCATGTTGCTAGTTTGTTTCTTCACTGTGGTACCCTAGGACTTTTTTGGCACATTTATAGAGAGCACTTAAAAACTTAGCTGATGGCTTTGTGTTGCACGATGTTTAAACAAATAAAAATATTTGTACCATTTCTCATTTTTTATTGTTGTGAAATGTATTATTTCAATCTTACTACCATAGTAAATTTTACACAGTCAATATCATCAACCTTGGGTATATAACCTTGCCTTCACAGTTCTCATTCTATTATTGCATGATTGATGTAGAAGGCATATGCTGGTGATTTTCAAACATAGCCATATCTTGACATCTTCTTTGGAGGTTGGTTTGAAAAAAAAACTGGCTTATATGATTAGATTCTTTGAGATTAGATACTGGGCATCTGTGTTTTCAAGAAGTGACTAAAGTGCAGCTGATAATACAGCTAGGGTGGTGAATAAGATAGGTGGACTATAACGCATAGCATGACACATTGCTTAATTTGACTCTAATATATGACATGACACATTTCTTAATGTTCTAGTTTGTAAATCTAGTTTGAGATCAGATTTTAGAATCAGAAAACTTATTTTTTTTTTTGTTATTGTTAGTGCTGTTATTATTTTCAGAAAGCCACCATGACACCTTTTCAAGTTTAAAAAGAACTTTCTGGTAAAGATAACCTTCTATTTAGAATTCACACAGAATTCTGAAACAAGATGAAAAACAACTTATTTACAATATTTTTCTTCATCAGAAAGATAATAGAGGAAAATAGAAACATGAAAATGTAATTACTGTAGTTAAATTATTTAAGAATAGATAGGGAATAGGATTTGTATAAGAAGTATATCTTGCAGAAAGCAGAACAGCCAAAACTTCAAATGAGATTAAAAATAATAATCGAGTTTTCAAAATAAGTTGCCTGAACATGGTGGTTTTACTTATGACACTAATTTCTTTGTAGGTGATTATTTAAAAACTAAATCAGTAAAAACTGAAAAGTAATTTTGTATTTGAGAAAGTAATATTTTAATTGGCTATATGTAATAATGTATATTCTTAACCATTTTATAATACAATAAAATTGCAGTTCTGTGTACTTTTTAAAAATCACTTAATTAATGAAGTCTAGGATACCTGGTTTTGTCCAACTCTCTGGAGTGATATATATAGATAGATACATAGATAGATAGATAGATACAGTTTGGTAAGGCATATAACTTCATAGCAAAATAATATTCAAATTAAGACATCTAGTTATTTAACTTATTGGAATATTCAGGCAAACTTATGAAAATTCCAACGTGCTTGCTCTTCATATTTATAATTATTTTTATTTTCTGGAGGTTATTTTATTAATTCCTCTCTCTGTTTATCAGTATTTCTCTATGCACTTTGTTAAATTCTTAGGGCTCTTTACTGATGAAAGTGTTAGCACTTACCCAGACACCTGAAAGAAACAGTTTTTTTGTAGATCAGAAAAATCCTTAGAATCATTCACATTTTTTTTCAATGAATTTAGGAAACTGTCAACTGTTTTAAGCTTTATTGTATCCTTTGTTCAAGGTATTCTCTTTCTTTAAAAAGAATAAACTACCATTTCTTGGAGAAACTACTATCTCTTATAGAAACTATAAGAGATAGTAGTTTATTCTTTTTAAAAAAGGAGGCCACTAAGTAAAAGAAAAAATAACCTTTCATTTTGAGGGAAGGATGAACTAACATTTATCTAATGTTTCCAATAGTGCTTGGCATGCCACACATGATTTATAATATAATTATTATTACATCTGTGTAGTGTACATTAGTATATTTAATTTATAGAAGAAGACACTGTGATTTACCATGGTTAAACCTAAAGTCACACAGACCATAAGACGTATTCATAATTTAAAGTGAAGTCTACATTCAGAGTTTTTTTGATACTAACATTATACCCTATGATATTTATTTTTCCTGGTTTAATAGGAAAAAATTTGAAATTTAATTGTGTAACAAGACATTCAAAAATAGTTTTTATCAGTAGATTTAGTCATATTTTTGAGATGTATTTGAATTTTGCTCTACCTGTCCCCATCCCATAAGTTGATTGGAAAATAGTGACCTCAAGATAGAAAATGCAGGAGAAAAAAGGATAATGCATAATGATCCTGTCTCATTCTTAATAAGTCTACATTTATTTTGAGAGACTGTTTTGAATACAAAAATTACTAAATAAAGATTAATTTAAAAATGCTCTGAAAAAGCAGCCTCTTTAATAAATAGTGTTGGGAAAAGTTGATATTCATTTGCAGGGGTATGAAATTAGACCCTCATCTCAAAAAGTGGATCAAATCAATAAAACAACAGAAAACAGGAAAAATGCTTCAGGACATGAGTCTGGAGAAGATTTTATGAAAAAGGCTGCAACAGCACAGGCAACAAAAGCAAAAGTAAACAAATGGGATCATATAAAAATAAAAAGCTTCTGCACAGCAAAAGACAATCAACAGAGTGAAAAGACAACCTACAGAAAGGGAGAAAATATTTGCAAAGTATTCATTTGATGGGATTAATATCTAGAATATGTAACAAACTAAAAAAATCTCAACAGTAAACAAACAAACAAACAAAACCAAAAAATCCATTTTGTAAATATTTA